AGCCAAGTATTGATATCGGGCTCAGATCAATGTTAAAGAAAATATAATTATAAATGAGTCATATTGTAAAATATTAATTGACTCTTTTTTTTCAAAAACTTATTAAAATTAAAAGTTTTAACTATGAAGAAGATAATGATTTTGACAAAAGCTTCTTGAGCCTCTGGCTAATTAATTGTTATAAAAATACTATGATTTTACTATTGTAAAAGAACCAAACCCTCCGAATCAAGTTTCTATGATTTGATATAATAAATTTTAACTTATTACTTCTAATTCATCAAATTAAACCCCTAATAATTGTTCTATTAAATTTTCTTTGTACATAGATCTGTTCTTATTATTCAATTTCTGTAATATTGTTCATTATGTCATCTTTATTTGTAGCTTTCTGTTTTGATAAAAATATTATTGAGAATGATAATTATATCACCGGAACTGCGTTATACCGAATAAACAATGATAGTAATAAATTTAGAGAAATTGTCTTCAAAGGTTTTAGTAAAAATCCTAATTCATTAGTTACTTCATTCGAAAAAAATTCTATTGTCTTGATGGTTGGTCGTTATGTGTATGAAAGAAATATAGAATATGTATATATTAATTCTCGTTAGGGCAGTGTCATTTATCACCTGATTTTTTTTATTAGAGGCTTACCCTCCTCCCCCTCTCTTATTATATATCTTGATCAGGTCTTTATATATAATTTTAAATTTTTTACCTCCTCCTCCTAAAAAATCATCTGATTTTTGTCATATCCTTTATCGTTTTGTTAGAAATATTATAAACTCAATTCATACTTTATGGTTTTCATAGGTTACTATAGTTCAGTCCGTTCCTGTGTCTTACTCTGATGATGAATACACTCTTACTCCAGAAGATCTCCCAAAATCATCTTCTTTATTACTTTTCTCAGCTTCTGTAATACCAAATTCATATATCTCTGACAATAACGGTGGTTAAAAAAGTTTTATGTTAGCAAAACATTTGTATAATAGTGTCACTAACAATAAACATGTTGATTCTAGAATTATCGTAT